AATTCTGTCCCTTAACGCATGCGCAGTAAGGGAGAGAAATTAATGGGGAGCGGCCCAGGCTAAGAGCCCACATGTGCACTGGAAGAAGGGGTGAAGCCATCAGGAATTAATGCCTGGCCTCTTCAACTCATGTGTGGTGGCCAGGCACTCAATTTGTGAGGTGGAAAACCTGCATGCAGGACCCCTCTTTTTGTTGAGAGCTTTCCTTTTGCTTAATAAATTCTGCCCTCCTCACCTTTCAATGTGTCCATGTGCCTAATTTTTCCTGGTTGTGAGATAAGAACCCAGATTTAGCTGAACTAAGGAGCAAGACATCCTGCATCACTTGTAGGAATTGGACTCTGATTTGAAGGCAGACTTTGGATATGACCAGGGTGGCAGCCGTGGAAGCTGCTAGTCGGACACACAGAGGCTCACACCATCCACATCCTCTTCACCCTTCCTTCTGTCTGCCATCATCACCCAGACACTGAATCTCAACCTTTTGGATGTCGAGGTGTCTCTCCCATTACCCCCTCTTATCTGCCTCCAGCCCTGCAGGCCTTTTATCTGGGTGATGCTGCAGGCCGAGCAGGAGCTTTCTCTGCCTTTCCTCTTTCTTCACTCCTGTCCTTCCTATACTTTGATTCCAGAGTAATCTTTGTAAAAGAGTTATTATAAAATCTGGATTTCTCATTTATTTATCCCCACAGTGCCTAGACTCTTGATGATCTGAGCTTACCTTACCTTCCATCACTCCCTCAAACAAACTTTCCTCGCCACTGGGTTAATCACTCTGATCACGCTGTCCTGGGAAACCTACTGGCTTCATTTCTGCTTTGCATCTTGGCTCACAGCATCCCCTGGCAGTGGTGTCTTTGCTGGTGCTGGTGCATTTTCCTGTCCAACATCAGCCCTGCCCCACAGAGGGCCAAACCCGTGCCTCCTTACGCAGACCTCTGCTTTGTCTGAAGTCCCACACTGCCCACAGCTGGTCATTTAATTATTCTTGGTTTGATGAGTCTCTTACTAATTCCAATGGCTCACAGAATCATTAGAATTTTGGAGCTGTCAATGATTTAAATGCATACTTTCCCAAGTGGAAGTAGAATTTAAATTTACATAGTCCTAATCAGATACCTCCTTTTTAGAGTGCCCCCTACCCAGCTACTGCTTTGGTCATGTTAGAATGGGTCTGTCGGGGTTGTGGGGGATGGGGGGGAATACAGGAGGGACAGCAGGGGGTGGGGAGTTGGGGAGAGATAGCATGGGGAGAAATGCCAGATATAGGTGATGGGGAGGAAGGCAGCAAATCACACTGCCATGTGTGTACCTATGCAACAATCTTGCATGTTCTTCACAGGTACTCCAAAACCTAAAAAGCAATTAAAAAAAAAACAACTCCAAACCAAACTCCCTGGGAGGCAATGCCTGTGGCCTGCTTTCCAGGCAGCATGATTCCCTGCTGTGCGCTTTGAAATCAATCACAACCCTTACTTCCTGTCTGGAGTTTTCGAGAGAACGGTGACATGACAGCGCATTGTACATGAAGCAAGTTAGGGCATGTCCTGGCCAAGATCCCAGGATCCTGAGTTTCTTGTCTGATCCTGAGTTGAATTTATAGATCACAGTACATCTCTGGCCTCCTTGTTTCAAAGACAGAATCCCTTATGTCACAAGAAGCAGGACAGGAAAAGCCACATAGCAATCTGGATAATTTAAATTTGTAAGGATGGATCTCTTTTTCTAGAAGAGCGTAGGTAAATTCAGAGGTGACCTGTAATTCCAAATACAAGGGCAGGCGTGTACTGGAAACATGATAAATGCTTACTGGCTGCCCGACAATTGCAGGGCTCCCCTTAACTTTGGCCGTGGAGTACGGCTCTGATCTCAGAAAAAAAAATCATCCTCAAGTTTCCCTTTTCCTTGTCACATTGTTTGGGAAAGCCTTTCTCCAAATTCTCACCAGCTTGGGCTTTATTTCCTGCCGAATTTCTGCTTCTACCTGCTTTGTTTTTTGTGCTTTTGACTATAGCTACCATATGGAGAGAGAGCTACTGTGGTGTTCCTCAGAAATAATCAAGTTTTTAGTGTGTGTGGTTTTCTTTCCTTTTTTTTTTGCAAGAGGCAGTATACTTCAAAGGTTTGGTCCCACATTTAAAGGTGGGTTGGAAATAATGGGCACTCAAGATGCTTTGGGCGATCAGAAAATTCCTCCAGCCCAGCAAGATTGCAGTGGTGTCAGAATTTGTTAAACAAAAGATCTTAGTGATTTAGGGTTAATTCTGTTTACAGTAGTAGGTGTTTACTTTGTAGCTTAGCAATAGAAGGAGGTGGGGTGAGTCATAATGTCAATTATTTTTTCTAACTTCTGTAATTTTTTCAGTTGAGAGAGCTTCTAAATCAGTGAAAAGAAGGTCATTTCTCCGTGGATTATCTGATTGAGCTGAGGCCCCGAGAGCAGCAGGAGCTGGGATGTGTTTGGGGCGGGTGGGGGCGTAACCTGCAGTGCCGCTGTGGGGTGCTCTGGCCCGCGGGGTCCTGGAAGCCCTCGACTGATCAGAGCACCTGGAGGGGCTGTCACCATGATTTAAAGCTCTGAGAATATGAATTAGCAGGAAGTAGGTGGATGGTGTCATTCTGGCCCTGAAAGGCTTCCATAAATCACCGGCACAGTGGAGCCCCGCAGACTTCCTCCCGCTGGTTTCTGGAGGCGCTCCTTCCCACTCTGCCCAGGCAAGTGGAAAGGAGCTATTCCTCGAGTGGATGGGTTATGGCCAAATGGCCTGCCCTCCCCACAGCGTGCAGATCCAGGCGGTTGGGTTTTTGCTGGAGCTTTAGGCTACATCCACAGACTGGAGAGCTGCAGAATCCTTGCTCCATAGTGGGGCTTGGGTTCCGGCCTTGGGAAGGATTTGACTTTGACAGTGGTGGTGATGAGGGAATTTTTAATGAAACAGATCCTGTCATGTCAGATCAACACAATGGAGCTCAGTCTGCGCAGTGGACAAGAATGGCGTGTTCCTTCCTTCTCCCCTTTGTGCTTTGTTAACAGAATGTCCCTGGCACTTCTGTGCTCCTGCCTGCTGCCAAAAGCTTAACTCTGCCCTTGCATAATACTGGGGGACACTGTCAGAAGGTCAGCTGGAAGTCCCTCTTCCGAAGGCAGATGTGAGGGCTAAAGCCCTGCCAAGATCCCCAGGCCGATTTTCAGTGTTGAGGTTGAAACTTACCCCCTGCAGCCACCCCTGGTTTATCAATTCATCCCTCTAACTGGGGTGGAAACTTGGGGTCCAAGGAGTCTTCAGAACCCCTCCATAATGCAGGAACACCCGCCATCGACTCCAAAAGCCGCACAGTGATTTCCGTCCATCTCTTCAGCTCCATACTCCAGCAGGCATGGAGGAACTAGAGCCACACCGAGGTCAACAGTAGGGAACGTTGCCCCTTCACTCACCCACTTCTGTTAGGCAAGCGGTGACAATGGCGTCTTACAGCAGAAAACGAAGTGGGAAATAGGACCTGCCAGCGGCTCCTGGGGTCTGAGCACAGGATTCAGGTGTCTCTGTACCTTGGCCAATTTGCATTCTTGCCTGCCTAGGAATGCCAGTTCCTTTTAAAAACCACAAGTATAGGAAATAGCCCCAAGCCTAAGGTTCTTTCCCTTCCTTACCCTCTTTGTCTCTGTGGCTACTCAGCTCAGGAGGTGAGGTGATGTTTTTTCATGGTGCAGGGGTCAGAAATTCCTGCTCTGGGAGTGGGAGTTGGCTGGGCTTCTTCACTGTGGCCAGACACAACAACCTCAGCCATCAGCCTTACAAATGCTTGGCTGGTTTGTTTGTTTTGATTCCAAGGGGAATGGGAATAAAAAAGGAGCAACAGGCAGCTCAAATACCTCATCACTCCTGGAAACCACATCACTTCCCACACGCCGAAGGCAGCATATTTGTGCCCGCAGTATAGGCAGGTGGAGTATCCCTAATCCGAAAATCCAAAATCAAAAATGCTTTAAAATCCAAAGCTTTCTGATCAGCAATATCATGCCACAAGTAGCGAATTCCGCACTTAACATCATGTGACAAATCACAGTCAAAAAGTATTCAAGACTTTACGTCAGGCGCAACATTATTTTTATTTATTTATTTATTTATTTATTAAGACAGGGTCTCCCTCTGTTGCCAGACTGGAGTACAGTGGCATGATCTTTGCTCACAGTAACCTCTGACTCCCTGGTTCAAGCTATTCTCCTGCCTCAGCCTCCCCAGTGGCTGGGATTACAGGTGTGTGCTACCATGCCCAGCTAATTTTTGTATTTTTAGTAGAGATGGGGTTTCATCATGTTGGCCAGAATGGTCTCGATCTCTTGATCTCATGATCACCTGCCTTGGCCTCCCAAAGTGCTGGGATTACAGGCATGAACCACTGTGCCCAGCCATGTGCTGGGATTACAGGCATGAACCACTGTGCTCAGCCAGGCACAACGTTATTAAAATATTGTATAAAATTACCTGGAGGCTGTGTTTATAAGAATTAATATGTAAAGCATAAACAAATTTTGTCTTTAGACTTGGGTTCCATCTTCAACATACCTCATTACATATCTTTTTAAAAATTTTGACTTTGGAATATATCTCATATATTTAAAAAAATCTCAAATTAGAAATATTTCTGGTCCCAAGCATATTTATTTATTTATTTTTCAGACAGGGTCTCACTCAGTCCCCAAGACTGAATGCAGTGGCATGATCACCGCAGCCTCAACTTCCTGGGGTCAAGCGATCCTCCTGCCTCAGTCTCCTGCGTAGCTGGGGCTGCAGGTGCACCACCATGCCTGGCTAATTTTTAAAAAAATTTTTTTTAGATATGTGGGTTGGGGAGATCTTGCTATGTTGTCCAAGCCAGTCTTGAACTCTGGGGCTCAAGTGATCTTCCCACCTTGGCCTTCTAAAGCGTTGGGATAACAGGTGTGAGCCACGATGCCTGGCATTTTTTTGTTTGTTTGTTTTTTAGAGATGGGTGGGGTGGGGGGGTCTAGCTCTGTTGCCCAGGCTGGATTCAAACTCCTGAGCCCAGCCGCTCAAGGAGCTGGGGTTACGGCCACACGCCACTGCACTGGCGGCAAACACCTCGGATAAGAGCAACCTGTAATCCATTTTCCACCTGCCTTTTGTTTGCTGTATCTTTCCCAGCTCTGCTATTTTCTAGCTGTTTGGCCTTGCACAAGTTGCTTTACATCTGTACGCCCTACTTTCCACATCTGATAAATTAATATTATTTCATAGGATCATTATGACGATTAGATGAGACCATAAAGGTAAAGCTCTTAGAATGGTGCTTGGCCCCTAATAAGCACTCAAATATTGTTTTCGTCAACATCTTCTATATGTCTGTCCATGTATGGCTTTTGTGATTGTTTCTATTTTTAGTCAAGGATGACATCTCATTTCTCGCCTTTTCTTTGTGTTCTGAATTCAGGCTCTCTGAATCTACCAGCCATTGCACATTTTCAAGCTGAAAGACCATTTGTATTTCAGAACCACTCTCTCAAACATTCCTTTAGGGAACCGGCCGTTTTGAATTGCTCCTGTCTTTTCTCTCTGGTCTCCAGAACTGCGTATTCCAAGCCCAGCACAGTCTCAGCATGGCCGCCGTTTTCTCGTTTCTTTGTGAAGCCTCCCTGTCCAGGCCGCCAGCCCCACGTTATTTGATTGTTTTCAGAACAGCCGGCAGGGGGCGCGCGTCAGCCGTTCCCAGCTTTCAGGCGAGGGGTTCTGACTATCCAGGTGCTTCTGCTAATGAGCTCAGTGCCTGCAGATCTTTCAGCTTAGGAGGATAGAAAGCTTCCTTGGCATGGAGATTCACCGTGTACTTCTGCAAACAAGTTTAAAAGACAGAAACCTGTATCTTATTGCTGCTGAGAGCTTTGCAGTCACATCTCCCTGTGGTGAGACTGACAGCTGTGTTACTGTGGGCACATTGCTCAACTTCCCTGAGGCAGCTTCTTTTTACTTAAAAAAGGGGCACAACCCAGCCTGGCCCCTAGAGATGTTGGGGAGTCAGCATGTGGCTGATAGATGCAGAGCTCTTAGCCGCTGGGGTACTTGGGAAATGGGAAGCATCATTACTCGGGGCACCGAGGCGACTTCGGGGGCCCCCTCTCGTCTCTCTCCTTACCCATCCACCACCTTTTCTTCTCCCTTCCGACTCACTTTTTCTCTCTGCTCTTCATTTCCCAGGCCTGAGACCAATGCCTGCAGGTACGAGGAAGCCTCTGTTTGCATAGGGCTGGGATACCCAGAGGGGAGGCTGGGGCACCCATAGGATGAAAAGGCCATTGGAAATGCCATTCCACTTCCCCTCAGCTTTTCAGATGCACTCTGTGAACCTCATCTAGTCTCTTGGTCAGCAGGAGCAAAATCAGCCATAATTAGCTCACACTGCACCCACCCACTACCCCACTCCACCTGACCAGGGCTGAGAGACATCACAAAAATAAACTCCACGAGAGTATTCTTTATAGCCCAATGCACAGAACTGGCAGTGCCATGTGGACATCACCGTGGGTAGTGTACATACCCACCATACCTAAGCACCTACCTGGGCAGCTGGGAGAAGGGTTGCTGTAGGGACCTGGGACCCCAGAGAGGTGGGTCGGTGGGACGGGGACACAACCTCAGCTGGCTTAGAGGAGAAAGGGGCTCAGTGCCCAGGCTCAGCTCAGTCTGGCTTGGGGGACCATCCAGGCCTGGCTTGGCACCAGTGGTTTGGTCGGGGACAGGTCTGGAAGGCTCCATACCTCTAATCTTCAAATGCTTCTGGGTCTGTCTTGCACCTGGAGGGCTGGTCTAGAGGCCTTCTGTCCACAGGGGTAGCTTAGTTTGTTTCCTTTGAAGGCCTGTGTCTCTCTGTGGGGGGATAAGGGTCATGTGGGTTGGGTGACTGGTTTGCTGGGTTTTAGCCCTGAAAGTCCTGCCTCCTAGGAGGACACTCAGTCCTGGGCAACTGGAAGGGGTGTCCACCTGGTGGGATGTATCACATCGTGTGTGAATCTCGGGCCAGATCCCTGCAGGAAAGCAATGTGGCTTTAGGATGTGATAGGGCCCTTGGCGACGCAGCCTTGCTGGGGGAAAAATGAACTAACCATGTCCCACCACCAGAATTGATGTTGGTGCTGCTTAGAGGTTTCTCACAACGCCTAATGAATGGGGAGCTGGACCAAGCCTCTGTCTTCCAGAGTACTGCGGCTAGCGGGGTCAAAGTGGACTTATCCCAAATGGGGATGCCTTGGAGTGGCTTCCTGCCTTTGTCCAGGAGACCCTCTCCCACCCAGATTCCACAGGAGAGCACTAGAGCCTTGGCCCCACCCAGTCCATCCCTGGCAGGCTGCAGCACGCCCGGCCAGAGAGCACCTTGCCAACCTTTGCCTCTAATTGCTCTCTCTGCACACAGTCACTTCCTCTGCTTGCAGCAGAACTCATAAAAAGGGAGGCTCTCCTTCATACCTTTGAAAAGTTCAGAGGAACCCATTTCCTAGGGGAGACTGGTCATGCAGTCACTGGGATCAGAGGCTGCTGAGGACGCTGGTCATGAGCTGCTGCTGACCTGGGCCCAGCTGCCCTGAACTGCACCCCTGCCCTGTGACTGCTTTTCAGTGTCAACATCCTGTGCTCTAGGGAAGTCCACCCTCTGTCAAGACCAGCTCTGTTCTGTTTTGGGATCAATCCGCACCCCTTAACCTTGCCCTGCATCTTACAGAGGGAGGCCCCGGAGCTGTGAAGGAGGCCGTGAAACAAGTCAAGCCTATCCTAGGATAGTAGATGACAAAGCCGCACCCAGCTCCGGCGAGGCGCTCACCCTGCCCCACAGATGCTTGCTCCACTGCTCTGCGCCTACCGCCCTGCTGTTCCACAGGGCCCCAATCCTGGCTTTGATTGGGCGATAGAGCGATGTCAGCTTACGTGAGTCCAAGTCACAGCTGTGTTCAGATTGGGAGTAGGGTTTCTGGTTCTTTGGCACGGCTCTTGGGCAAACTCCAGCTCTTCCCCAGCATCCAAATTGGTAGTGTATGTTCATGAACATCTCAGACAGGATGCTAGATGCTGACCAATAGGGAGTTTCTGGGAGAAAATGAAACAGTTTGTGCTCTCTGTTCCAGCTGAAGGGGCTCAGGCAATGCTTGTTGAACAAATACATACATTCTACTTACAGAATAGGAAACAGATCTCTAAGGGGAGCCTGATTTAACTTAGGGGTATGTAGAAACAGGATAGGGCTAGATTGGAAGGAAAAACACTCATTTCTAATATACTGTCTTCTCCTGATGACCTTTACTCTCCTCTACCACCCAACAAGCCAAGTGGTGGGAGTCAGATATGCATATTAAATAGCATGTGCAGTGGAAGGCTGGCCAGCGCCTTCACCATTCCGAAACCTCTGCCCTGCAACCCCCGGCTGCTGTTGCAACACACACACACACACACACACACGCACACGCACACGCACACACACGTGCGCACACAAGCACACATGCTCAAACACACACAAACACATATACTCAAACACACACAAACACAAACTTACACAAACACAACCCAAGCATGCACACAAATATACACAAACATGCACGCTCAAACACACATGCACACACATGCACACAAATATATGCATAGACACACTTGTGCTTACAAACTAAACACATATACATTAACACACTCTACATACACACATAAACATACCCATCTGTACATAAACATATATATGCAAACACACTGCACACATGCATACGCACCCCTTTCCACCACTTGAGGGGTTGGGATGTGAGAGAAGACGTGAACTTTTCATCTGCACTTCACTACAGCATGCTGTACAATTGTTCTGTAGGAATTTTGGAGGCATGTCATTGAAATTGCTGTAAGTTTCACTTGATAACAATAGTTTAATGCTATAAAAATATCCATGTATCCTTGCGATGGTTTGTAGCTTCTGAAATGTGGTCATCTGTTCCACGTTAAAAGAATTCGAGGCAGCATTATTCTTGAAGGCCTTTTGTTATGAGTTTGCTTCTCAAAGTCATCTTCCGAATCCTGCTGTGCTGAGCGTCACCTCAGCTCAGCCCACTTATGAATTTCATTGCTGAGCTCTGAGCACAGGTCGTCTGGCAGCATTTCTGATTGCAACCAGTTTTGCGCACTGAGATCACCCTGCTGACCACAGGCAGTGGCTCCCAGCAGTGTGAGGATATGTGTGGGGCCTGCTTTTGTGACTACGCATTCACCCTTCCGGGGACAGACAGTGGCTCTTGCTGTCTCAATGCCACTGGAAGAACTCCAAAGGGCACCTGGAGGACTGGCTTGGACTTTCAGTTCTGTCACTTATGAGTGTGTGACCCTGGACACGTTATGTATCTCTCTGCCTCTCGGTACTGTGACCTGGGTATAGTTAACACCTGCTTTTGAGGTCTAGTGAGGAATAAATGAGACACTTCAGTGAAACAGCTGCACTGATTTTACAGTTCTCAGTTCTGACCCATGAATCAAGTAGATTTCATTTCATTATGACTGACATTTTAAAAAATTTAGAATAGATAATGAGTATAACATTTCATTATGGGGTGATGAAAATGTTCTAAATTAGATTGTGATAATTGTACAACTCTGGCAATGTACAAAAATCTACTGAGCTGTGTACACTTTAAATGGGTGAATTTTGTAATACATAAATCATATCTTAATAAAGTGGTTATAAAATAAAGAGCCCTTAAAAAACCATCAAGCTCTATATTTGGGATTCGTGAACTTTATTATGATATGTTAGACCACAATTAAAAAATTTAGTTGAGCGTGTTGGCTCACACCTTTAATCCCAGCACTTTGAGAAGCTGAGGGGACGGATCCCTTGTGGGCAGCAGTTCGAGAATAGCCTGGCTGATAAGGCAAAACCCCTTTTCCACTAAAAATACAAAAAATTAGCCAGGCATGGTGGTGTGTGCCTGTAATGCCAGCTACTTGGGATGCTGACTGGGAGAACTGCTTGAACCCAGGAGGCAGAGATTGCAGTGAGCTGAGACTGTGCCACAGCACTCCAGCCTGGGTGACCGAGCAAGACTTCGTCTCAATTAGAAAAAAAAAAGATACAGGCTGGGCATGGTGGTGCATGCCTGTAACCCCAGCACTTTGGGAGGCTGAGGTGGGAGGATCTTGAGACCAGCCTGGATAATATAGTGATTGTCTGGTAGAAGGCCTCTCTGGTCCCACCCCCCAGCCACATGGAAGGAGCTTAACTTCCTTACGTGACTCGGCACAATGCCCCCGACTGAAGGAACTCCAGCCCCTTCCACCTAGCAACCACCTAACCAATCATCACCTGCCTCTTTAGCTCCCGCCCAGCAAACTTCCTGCCCAAATCCTGACCAATCACCATATGCCCTATCAACCTCCTGCCCACTCAACTTCCTGTTCGGCAAACTCCCCGCCCGGCAACCGGGACTAACCAATCATCACCCGCCGCCACTGCTCTCCCACCGCCCCAGGCCCTCTGCCCCTATAAAACCGACCGCACAAGGAAAGCGCGCGCGATTTCTCCCTTCCCACTTGAGTCGCCCGGAGATCCCAATAAAGTCGGTACCGGTCACCATGCGTCCTACCTCGTGTCTACTGGGTGCCTGCCTCCGTGGGTTGGGGTCCCACAACCAGAGGTCGCACAGTGATCTCTGTATCTACAAAAAAAAAAAAAAAAAAAAAAAACGATAAAAAATAAAATTTAATTGAGTGTAGTGGAACACAGCGCACACAGGTAGTCCTGCCTACTTGGGAGGCTGACACAGGAGGATCGCTTGAGCCCAGGAGTTTGAGTTTGCAGTGAGCTATGATCACACCACTGCATACTATTCTGCGAGATGGAGCAAAAACCTGTCTCTAAAAAATTAAAAAAAAAATAGACATAAGAAATAAAATAGAAAATATCAGAGTGCTTCACATGTAGTAATAATTAACATCATTTTCATGAACTCTCTGTGTAAATATGTGTATGCATGTGTGTGTGTGTGTGTGTGTACTGGGCTGCAATAAAAATGTGTTTCTTACAGAGAGAGGGCTGTTGCTTTAAACATCCATTGGCCTAGTGCCTACCAGGTCAGAGCAGACGTTTAACTGGTTATTTATGCCCGTTCTCCCCTTCCTTTCCAGAAATGCAAATAAAGAGGAAGAACACACCCATGTTCAGTAATTGACTTTGACTTCACAGTGTTGGCCTGTTTTCTGAAAAAACAGAGCAGAAACTCTGACTAGCTGGAGGAGCCCTGTTACCACCCCCTTCTGTGTGTAAATGTACACACATGTGCATGCACACAATTAAATCAGGCTTTCTTTTTCTAGTTAAATAAACTCCACACTCACCAAAGGAACAAATAGTTGGCCTATTCCCAAAGAAAATGTGCCTCCAGGCTTCTGGTTTTGGAGGTTTTGCAGTGTTTACTTTCCAGTGATCTCCACTTGACTCCTTCCCTCTTTCATTTGGTTGTAAATACCACAATTTAAACTAGCTACCTGCCGCTGTGACCCTGGGTGGGAGTTTGTCTTGACGGAAACGGCAGGCCTCCCTGGCCCCTTCCTCCCCTAGGTGAGTGTGGAGTGGAGGAGGGTGGGCAGACCTGGCTGCAGGCAGGAACACGGCTGTCTCCGGGGTGAGTGTGGGACAGGGACCACAGCCATTGCCACAAGCAGGACTTGGACCCTGTGCTCAATCAAGGTAAATAGATGAAGTCATCCAGTACCTGGCGACTTTTTGAAGATGGCGCAGTATAAATAGCCTTGGGAAGACTATTTCATTAGGGCTGAAACACTTGTGTTTCTGTTGCTTTCTGATGGTTATTTCTCTTTGGTTGCTTGCCCCTGTGACACATTTCAGTAACTGCCAGATGGGCCTCGGGTGGATGTGTCCAATGTTGGACACACATTCCAATTTGTCCTATTGAGTTAGAGTTTTTTTTTTTCTTACTTTATTTTTTGTATATTAGTCCAAATTAGCTCTCTGCTAGTGACGTGAATTGCAAATGTATTTTCTAGTTTGTCATTTGCCTTTTAGATTTATTTATATTGGTTTGCCCTACAAACTTAAAAATGTAGTTGATTGGATCAGTCTTTTTATTTGTGGCTTCTGCTGTGTTTTGTACTTAGATTTGTTTAAATACCAAGATTATTTTAAAAATAGCCCATAAGCATTCTAACACTTTTGATTTAATTTTTTATATTAAAAATTTAAATCCATGTTAAATGTATCCTGGTGTAAGATGTGAGGTGTGAATTCAACTTCATTTCCCCCGCAGATGGTTATCCAATTGTTCTAACACCATCTTTTATGCACTGATTTGAAGGGCTGTCCTTTTCATATACTAAATTATCACTTATGCTTGTGTTTATGGGCTTTTTATTCTGTCCCACTTATCTGTCTATTTCTCATCAATACCATTTCAACGATTAGGTTGTGAAATGTCAAATGTTTGTCCAGGATGACCCATTATTACTCTTCTTTTTCAGAAGTTTCCTGATTACTTTGCTTGTGTATGTCTACATATGAATTTTAGGATCAGCTTATCTAGTTTAAAAATCTCATTATTTTATTGGGATAGTTTATTTATGGGGTATTTACTTATGGAGTAAGTTAGGGAGAAATGACATTTATGGTGTTTCCCATTTCCCACTCCATTAATATGTTATGCCTTATTATTTGCTCAGGATTTTTTTAATGTGCCCAGTGGTAACTACCTTTTTTTTTTTTTTTGAGATGGGGTCTCGCTCTGTCACCCACGATGGAGTGCAATGGCCGTGATCTTGGCTCACTGCAACCTCCGTCTGCTGGGTTCAAGTGATTCTTCTGCCTCAGCCTCCTGAGTAGCTGTGATTACAGGCGTCCCCCATCACACCTGGCTAATTTTTGTATTTTTAGTAGACACAGGATTTCACCCTGTTGGCCAGGCTGGTTCTGAACTCCTGACTTGAGGTGATCGGCCCACCTCGGCCTCCCAGAGTTCTGGGATTACAGGCGTAAGCCACTGCGCCTGGCCCCAGTAGTAACATTTTAAAGTTTTTATTTCGTATAGATCTTAATAGTTTCTTGTTGAGTTTATTTCTAAGTAGTTTTTCTTTTTTCTATTGGGAATTACTGTTTAATCTTCTAACTGTGATTTGTATTTATTGAAAGCTATTGAATTAATTATTTCTCCATATTAATTTTAAAAGCAGTCACCTTACTGAAATTCTTATTTGTGAAATAAGAACACTGGGTGAGCATTTGAATAATTAAAAATTAATTTTTTTCTCTTTTAACGTTTATTCAAGCAGTAAATTCCTTATACTGGTCAGTTCAAGTTTTTTTTGTCTTGTGCAGTGACTAATGTTAACTACATTTTATTTTGGCAGAACTTATTCGCCAATTTGTCACTGATGTCTCTCTAGTTGTATGATGTGTTAGGAGTTTTATGTTATTTATGCCAATGCCATTATATTGTGTCAAATCAGCACAAAATTTAAATATTTTTCCAGTGAATTCAGTGATGCATTTTTCTTTTCTTTTCTTTTTTTTTTTTAACCAATTGAATTATAAAATAACACAAGAGCCTAATAATTATAATCCATTACTTCTTCTGGAGAGCTATTTCTTCTTATTTAATGAATTATTGCTTTTCGTATAGTCTCAAATTTCTCTCTCTCTTTCTTTCTCTCTCTCTTTTCTTTTTTTTTTAATGGAGTCTGTCGCCCAGGCTGGAGTGCAGTGGTATGATCTCAGCCCACTGCAACCTCTGCCTCCTGGGTTCAAGTGATTCTCCTGCCTCAGTCTCCTGAGTAGCTGGGACTACAAACGTATGCCACCATGCCTGGCTAATTTTTCTTTTTTGTATTGTTTAGTAGAGATGGGTTTTCACCGTGTTAGTCAGGATGGTCTCCATCTCCTGACCTCATGATCCGTCCCCCTTGGCCTCCCAAAGTCCTGAGATTACAGACATGAGCCCCCGTGCCCAGCCTGAAATTTCTTTTAGTTACAATTTCCTTTTTGATAAAGAAATAATTTTCATCAATTTGTTTGCTTCTAATTGTTGCTTATGTTTCATAATCCATTAATTTTGTATATGGGTTTTCTCTTACTTTCTTAACAAATAAGCTTAAAGATGAGCAAAGAAAATCCCTTTTATATGTGTCCAAATGGGGAATATGTAATTATGTTCCAAAACATCTTTCAATTACAGTCATAATGGTATATTTAAGATTTAAGACGATTTTGAATAAACATTTTGCTTTTTATTTGTGTTCAGGTTTCTCATTTCTGTCTGTGAAAATACATTTTAGAGACATTAAAAAAATGTTTAGTCAAGTTGCAGGCTTTGAATAGTGCATTTTAGGACCCTGATGAGAGCTGGGGACTCATTCAATTTGAATTCAGTGGTTTGCAGTCACTTCTGTGCAGTCAGTTGCTGCTGGCTGTCCTGGTCTGGGGTGGCTCCCAGGAATGTCTTACTGCCCATTCCTACTGCTGACCACAGGGGTGCAGAAACTGGTCCTGTGACCACTGCTGCAATGCCACTAGGCAAGATGGGAAGTGTGAGGAAGTTAAAGTCAAAATAAGAGTGAGTAGTCTTCACAGATTG